CTTTGTCAAAAGCTTCACCTAGTAGAAAGATATCATTCGCATACTCAAAGTCAACCAGATGACCTCCAGAGAATAGGTTAACCCCCGTGAAGTCTGATTCACCTGAGGTTATGCCCATTAGTACATCTATAACGAAGTTGAATAGGAACAGTGACGATGAACATCCCTGTCGGGACACCACTAGTTGTCATCATTTCTGGTGACAACTCTCCATACGTCCTCCCTCACACGGCTATATTAGTCCGAGTAAAGAGCTTTGATCTGCTATATGCAACTGTTAGCTACTCCGTACACAGTCAGACACTGCCGCGACACCTCATGATCGACAGAGTCGAATGTCCCCTTCAGGTAGAGAAATAAAGCAATTATCCGCTGCCCGTAGGTATATATATTGCAGAACCTGTCGGAGGGTAAAAATTTGATCGATGCATCCTCATTCATGTGTGAAACCTACCTGCATTTTTCGATTTTGATGTTCTCGAGCTCCAATAGGTATCTGGTAACTATGGGTCCTAGTCTTTTGGATTCGATTTTCTTCGGACTGATACATCCATGGTTGTCACAGGAAGACTTCCCTCCCTTCTTATAATATATTTTAATTCAGTATTCCTATTAGCAGTTCACTCAAACTGATCCGACTGCCGTATATGACGCTGCGATGGACTGCGCTGCAGAATACAATAAAGAATTTTACCAGCTTTACTTGTTACTTAAGTAACTTCTCTAACTTTAATAATTTCATGATTACTACTAACGTTGGTGGTTACTTTGATGAATCTAATTCAACAATGAAAAATTAACAATCTTCCCTCTATATTAAGTCAACGTTAAACTCCAAGGGTCATGAATTCTTACTACAACGGCTGTTTTTTAGCCTTTTATTCACTACTTGTGCATCAAGTATTTGTTTGCTGATTAATATGCAAAACGTGAGTAACCCTTTTCATTGAATATGCATTTTCTTAATCCAGAGTATATTTTTTTCATTTATTCATCATATATCTTAATATTAAAATGAATTAGGCAGTATTATTTATTATGGGTTTTTTTAAGTTTTATATAGATTTAACTACTTCTTTAGTAAATCTAAATATGAGACAATCTTGATTAGTGACTGAACAGTTTACAAACGTTTTAAATATCGCGTTGACACTTCCCATATACAGATGTGAACATTATATCGAATAATGAAATGAACGATAGACAGTAGCTAGTAGTGAAATTCAAGAGATGCGTTTCGATCTATTCAGAACTTATCAGCTGGATGTACCTGTCTTGCTCCACAAGTTATAACGTCAAAGATCAGGTCGAATAGTTGTTAAACAATATATTTTATCAGTTCATCAATCTCTTATGCTGAGTATCTCTACTGCATAGTCTTCAACAAGAACCTTTTTGACACAACCACCAAGTACCAGGAGAGCTAGTCTTGCTAGGAGAATATCCTTGTGAACTATAAAATTTGTAAACTATTTCTTACTTATGCCATACAATTGATGCTGTGAACATTTTCACTAGATCAATGGAAGTCGCCCTAGAACATCAGTGATAGGAGAGGGTGCAGATTAGCAGGGCAGCCGTCTAGTATCTAGACGATCAACTCAGTAAATTTTCTACTCAAAATAGTTTCTAACTACTTATTTTCTTCAGTAACCAATGACTGAGTAAGTTCTTAATTCCTACTTACAATTACTTTTCTCCTTTCGGACATTTATACCTCCTTCTTAGTCTTAGTGTTTTGGGAGGAGGTTAGGTGATATGAGTCGTGGAGTAGCATAGAAACACCGACCGTCAAGTAAGAAACATTGGAGCATCTTCTATCAAACCCCCTGTTAGTAAACCACACTTAAGAATTCAATTATATGACAGTAAGGAAAATTGGCCACATTGAACTCAGATTATAAGCCCTATTTCAAATACTAATCGTTAGGGTCTAGACAGGGATGAGGAAGACGATTGTTGAGATATTGAAAACGAAAGCCAACAATGTGAAAGTAGAAAAAAATAATAGTGAGCAACGTGATTACAGCGGAATCGACTGTTTACATTGGAAGATGAATCGATGAGAAAATACGGACAGGTCGAGTCCCTGATTTTATTGACAGGTTGAAGTGGATACACGACCCAAATGTATAAACTTACAATGATGTTCTTAACAAAACACCCGTTTGTTCAGACTGAGACTAACCCTCTTCTAAATGTGATATCCACAACTTTGATAAAAAGAAAATACAAGGTACCGACTATATTTTGACCACAAATTCCCAATTCCGTAAGCACCAGAAAGTAAGATTTTTAAAAAGTTGACTTGAACATTCCTAACAACTGGTACAGTGAAAAGGATTTGCAGGCTAGCTTGAAAGTATGTCCCAAGGCGAAAACAATAAAAGTCAATTACTTCTGCTCTAAATATCCAATCAAAAACAACAGTATTACCAAACACAATAAAGTTCTTGCTAAAGTACCACTTCAGATGCTTGCTACTAATGAGTAGTGTAAATATTTCTAGAAAATTAAAGCTTATAATCACCAGAATCCAATGAATTTGAATACCTCTTATGTATAAATCCAAGGCTATAACTAGCTATGAAAATCTGTGCATTAGGTACGGTAGGAGTGTCAACCAGTTCATCCAACCGTAAAACTAATAAATCCCCACTAGCCTACAAATTGAGTGGCCGTCCAATGATCATTAGTGACTTGTTTCCAAATTAGATTTCCCCGACTTCTAATGAAAAGTCGTGACCAGTGGGGCGAACTAATTCGAACGTGAGAGCAGGTACTTAATGACAACATTGGATGGAGATAGCGTTACATCACGAACTGACAGAAGTAGGGACTTGTGGACTACTGAACTACTACTCAGTGGTCTAATCGTGATGTGCATAACGCGGAACCTGAAGTCCCTGGGTTCTACCCATGGAGACATCATGGAGGCGCACTGCAAAGGAGTCCAATGCCACGACGGAAGAGTCTTCCATGTTTTAAATGGCTCTCCAACTGATGTCAGTTCATGACGAATGTCATCGAGAAATCAATAAACCCCCACAAACCTCCAAATTGAATTACAAATTAATAAAATCTACAAAAAGTATAGTAATTGAGCAAGAAACTTCATAACTTTTGTCCAACGACTCAATCTAGAAACTTTTCCCTGTCCACCTTGCAATATATTACTGACAACCATGGAAACTTCTCAAAGACAGACAATAGAACAATGAATTTCAAACAATACAAGCAGTATACGCTAGATCCTCAGTCTCCAGTTGGATTCACGGTACTTCTGAAACAAAACATGCCATTCACTGAACTTTTTAACCAAAAAAGAAACATACAGGCTTATACTACATGAAGGGAACGCCAAAATAACAAAGAATGTGGCCGAAACTCTTTAAAGACAACCGTCTAAATAACCTAACTCAAAATATACTTTAGTACATCGTAAAAATCTGCTTAGATGCCTCTAGCTTTCACAGGTAATCCGTCGAAGTAAAAGATATTGCTGCTGAACAATTTCATCCCTAGTATTCAAATCTTATAGAGTGATTAAAGTTTATCGACTAAGGAGTGTATTATAGACACTAAAAACTAAATGCCACAACCTTCCAGAAAAATAACCAACAAATGCAGCATATTGGTAGACGATATAATAGCAACCGGCTTCGAAAATCAATGATCCCCAAATTTGTATTCGTATATGTATCAGTATAAAATATTTCACAGCAAACACTAATCATAAAACTAAATCCTTAACTTTTATGTACAGATCATTAACTATCCCCCGGCTTGTAGGAAATTAGACTGAAATATGACTGAAGGGATGGAAGCGTTCAGAAAATTGTCTTACTTCACTACTGAAGTAAAAACAACTCAAAAAAGTGCAATCATTAAAGGCCTTCTTGTGTAGGTAAAACGACAGGATAATACAAGCAGCAACACAGAAACTACATATGTCACACAAGAACTGGTTATCGTCACTCGATGACCTAGTGGGCAATGCTCTGGTGTTTGAAGTGATCGGCCCCGGGTCCGAATCTTAGTGAGAAGAACACCGCTCACTGAAAGATTGGTACATCCAATTGACAAGTAAGTAGAATGAAACGCGTAACTTGCATTCCACTGCTAGATACTGTCTATTATTACTATAAAACAACAGCCATTAATTAAAATCTAGATGGTAAAGACTAAACACCGATGTGTTGCATAGGCCCTGATGACGGGACATGGCGTTACAGCATCAAACTTGACAAGTTGATTACCAATAACCTCACAAAGTGCCCCCCCCCTCAAAGAGCTGTCTGCATCTCAAAATCAAGATCTTATCTATTATTTTACAGATGAGAATTTGCCATCTGAATCTCCGTTGCACTACGTTTGATCGACATCTGACAAACTTTTGCGTGAACTGCCCTGAAAACTAACTAATAAATGGATTTCTCCTACAACTGGGCTACACAGAAAACCAAGTGATTCTATAAGTCGGAAATTTACAAATAACTGATTGGGAAGAATAATCTGCAATTGGTGCTTCAGTCATATTAACAAGTGAACAACCATTCATGTAGAAAATCTAAAAAGTAGATTTCGTGGTTAATTACAGTGAGGTAAGGTACAGCATTCCATCGTTCACTTAGTTATTCGGTTAGTTGGTGTGGATTGATGATCACGTGATATAAAACCAGTTATAACATACCATTTTTTCTTATTAACCTGGTGTATTTCCAATATTCAGTGCTTAGATTAAACCTCGACTTCTGATTTTAAAAAACATGTAATGCTTCCATCTTATACAAATCAACTACTCCTCCACCTGTCATTTACATCTACTAAAACTATCTGCAAAAATACTCTATAAGGATATCCTAACACCAGCCCATTATGAAGATAGGCCGATGATAGTCTCCAAAGCTGTAGATGATAACTGGATCACTAAAACCATCAGCTAAAAACTCTTTGAAAACTTTCTTTCGTTGCTGCACACCTCAAACATACAACAACCTTGATGTGTAAGCAAATTTGCTATATACGTGGACATAAAGAGTAACAAGTGTCTTGACAAATTACGAATATGTAAAATAGTTTGAGAAAACAAAATTGTAAATAAAGAAGAGATATTCATGATTAACTTTCTCTCTTATGTACATTTAAAAGAAGGAAAGGTTAAAAGCATAAACAAATTATTCATAAAAGCCTATTTACACCACAAAAACGCATAGCACAGTAAACTATTAGTGTAATAGTACTAAACATGCATACACAGAAAGGACAGTAATAAATTGGGTAAGCTCTTTTAAGAAAAAGCAGGTCAACATTTCTGTGTTAAATAATCATCAAATTAAACCGTGACGCTTTTTGTATTCTTGTAAATTTAATAATCGACGATTTGGTTTCCCAGATGGACCGTTAATCGGTGTTTGCGGATCACCATTTATAAAATCATGACTGGAGTTGGCAGTACCACGTGACCTAGGACTAGTAGACTGTCGAACATCAGAGTTACTTGCACCTGTTCGGCTACTAGAATTCGGTTGATCATTATTACCGTCCAGATCTAAATCAATATTAATTTCGAAATTATGTATAGCATGAAGAGAATCATGTGGTGTAGACAGGTTACTGCTATCATCTCCCAATGACCAACAAACGGAATCTGGTGCTTCAGTTAGAATACTATTACATCCCATGGGTGTATTCAGCATTGAAGATTTAGAAGATAGACCTAATTCTGATTCTGGTGTTGATGGTGGTGGGAAACTTTGATTTAAATCGCATGAACCTTTAGAGACATCACGTTGTGAAACACCAAGCTGCAATGAAAAAAAAAGAAGTTAAAATCAGAAAAATGGTCAACTTTTATTATCAAATAAAATAAATAATTCGAATATGCAGGTTCATTTTTTGGGTTGTTTTTTCAAGTATAACTACAGGTAAAAGAAAAACATAATCTGCACCATTTCTATATACAAATTGTCACATATGTCAAATATGTCTTTATAGATGTTCACTTTCAAAAAGCTTTAAAATTGCAGGTTCAATGTGGTGAAAGCCACAAATGCTGAGTTATGAAACAACAATATTAATTAGAATGATAATGCATTGGAAAAAATCTTAGAGTGAGTGAGGGTTTTTTTCAATAAAGCGTATATGACTGTCAGCATTCTCGCTTCAGTTCATGAAATATCACAAATCAGCAACAATAAACTCTTACATACACTGAGAAAGCCGACTGGGGACATCACGCGTCAGGCCCTCGAGTGGAATCCCCATGGGAAGCGACCAGTTGGACGTCGGTGCCGAGGGTGACATGGAGGAGGTCGTGCGAGGAGGAAATGAGAGCTTCTGGGCTGTTGTGGAGCCAGGTTCAAAAGATTTCGGCGAACAGAGTTCACTGGAGACGTGCTACTGAAGCCCTATGTTCCATTAGGAACCCAAGGGACTAATATCAATATAAATAATAATATTCATTTTAAACCCACTAGGTACAAACAATATAAGTACCAAGAAATGTGACAGAAAAAAAAGTGTAATGTAAAAGTATTATGCAGTCAAGAAATCCATTTAAGTGGTTCCACTAATTTGAGGATAAGGCGGTTGAGATCAGCTGCCTGATAAACAGTGCACAAAACGGAATACAGTTACCTTAGATTCCCTAGATGAATTTATTTATAAAGAGACTTACTTGAGATTCAAAAAGACATCAAATGATCAACAATCTCGCCTCTCATTTAGGTAGAAGTAAACCTAGATACAATACTATATCCGTAGAAGTTTCAATATGTTTTAGTATGACAACACAAAACGAGAACCAACAATTATTATTATTATTATTATTAGTCCCTTGGGTTCCTAGTGGAACATAGGGCTTCAGTAGCACGCCTCCAGTGACCTCTGTTCTCTGAGATCTTTTGAACCTGGTTCCACGACAGCCCACAACCTCTCATTTCCTCCTCGCACGACCTCCTCCATGTCACCCTCGGACGTCCAACTCGTCGCTTCCCATGGGGGTTCCACTCGAGGGCCTGACGCGTGATGTCCTCAGTCGGCCTTCTCAGTGCATGGCCAATCCATCTCCACTTCTTCCTGCATATTTGTTGCGTGATAGGTTCTTGGTTGGTTCGTTCCCAGAGTTCCTTGTTGCTTATTTTTTCTGGCCATCTGATCTTCAGCAGCGAGCGTAAGCAGTTGTTGATGAATGTCTGTAGTTTATTGGAAATGCCTTTCGTGACGCGCCAAGTCTCTGAGCCATACAAGAGCACTGACTTGACGTTGGTGTTGAAAATCCGTATCTTGTTCCGCATGCTGAGTGCAGAAGATCTCCACACTGGTTTCAGGCTAATGAACGCCTGTCTTGCTTTTCCGATTCTGACTTTGACGTCCTCGTCCGTCCCGCCTGTAGTTGAAACAGTGCTTCCTAGATAAGTGAAGGAGGTTACTTCCTTCAAGTTTCTCCCGTTGACGGTGATTGGAGTTTGTTGTTGTTGTTGATGGTGCGGTATCTTCATCACTTCTGTCTTCTCTATATTCACCTGAAGTCCCGTCTTAGCTGCCTCTTCTATCAACTTGTTAGTTTTTGCCTGCAGATCTTCAAGTTTGTGTGACATTAGGCATAAGTCATCGGCGAAATCCAAGTCTTCTAGGTTCTTTTCCGCCGTCCAGTGTATCCCCCTCTTCTCGCTGCCTACTGTTTGCTGCATGATCCAGTCCACCACAATCAAGAATATCATGGGGGATAGTAGGCAACCTTGTTTCACTCCTGTCTTCACTTCAAAGGCATCACTGAGCTTCCCATTGTGGATTACTTGGCATGTGGCATCTTCATATAGTTGTTGAATGAGGCGGATAAAGGTTTGCGGTACTCCGTAGTATTGAAGCAGTTTCCAAATTACTTCTCGGTCGACGCTGTCAAAGGCCTTCTCAAAGTCGATGAAGTTGAGGTAGAGAGCTGATTGCCATTCTATGCTCTGTTCTATGATGATACGAAGCGTTGCAATTTGGTCTGCACATGATTTGTACTTCCTGAAGCCTGCCTGTTCCGGTCGTAGTTTTGAATCCAGTGCATCTTTAAGCCTCTCCAGGATGATGCGGCTTAATATTTTACTTGGGGTGGACAGGAGAGTGATTCCGCGCCAGTTCTTGCAAGCACTGAGGTCTCCCTTCTTCGGCAGTTTGACAAGGTAACCCTTCTTCCAATCGTCAGGTACCTTCTCTTCCTTCCACACCTTCTGCAATAGTGGTGTGAGCATGTCCGCTGTTGTCTCTGCATCTGTTCTCAGTGCTTCTGGCGGTATTCCATCTGGTCCTGCTGCTTTCCCGCATTTCAGTAGCTTTATGGCGTTCAGGACTTCCATTTTCGTTGGGGGATTAATGTTCACTTGTAGTTCAGCGGCTGCAGGTGGTATTTCTGGACGAAGTGCAGGTGGTGGTCGATTCAAGAGCTTCTTGAAGTGGTCGGCCCATCGTTTCCTCTGTTTCTCTTCTTTTGTAATTAAATTTCCTTCTTCATCTTTTATTGGTTTCATCTGTGTTGGTCTCTTCCCTGATAGCAACCTGGTTATTTGATACAATGTCGTCAGGTCTCTCTTACCTGCAGCCTGTTCTGCTTCACTTGCCAGTGTTTCGTAGAAGTGTCTTTTGTCTTTGCGTGCACTCTTCTTCACTTCTTTGTCCAGTGTTTTATACATTGTGCTCAGTTCCTCTTGTCGTTGAGCATCCTTGCACTGGTTTATCTTCTGCTTCACCATCCTCCTCTCCTCTATCAGCTTCCAGGTATCCGTCGAGATCCATTCCTTGTCTTCTTTCTTCTTCCTTCCTAATACTGTTGTGCAGGTTTCTTTCCACATAGCTTTCAAAGACTTCCAGTGTTCTTCCACACAGGTTTCTTCAGGGATGTTGCTCGATGTCTCCCATTTTGTCTTGATGGCTGCCGTGAAGATCTCCTTTGTAGTTTCATCCTTCAGTTTCCGAGTGTTGTACTTGAATTGAGGTCTATCACCAGCTTCCTTGAAGGCTTTTAACTTGATTTCGAAGGTTCCTTGCACTAGATAGTGGTCTGAACCTACATCTGCTCCTCTTCTTGACCTTGTGTTAAGTAGACTGCGTCTCCATTTTCTTGAGATTGAGATAAAGTCGATTTGATTTTTAGTGTGTCCATCTGGTGAAATCCATGTCGCTTTGTGGATATCTTTGTGCCTGAACACACTGCCTCCAATCACCAAATCGTTGAATGCACAGAATTCTGCAAACAATTCTCCATTCTCATTCATTTCACCTAGCGCCTCTCGACCCATGGTTAGTTCTCTTCCCGTGTTGTCCCCTCCCAGTTTGGCATTCATGTCGCCCATTAGAATTTTGATATCGCCAACTGACGTCTTGTCCAGTGTTGATTGAAGTTGTCTGTAGAATTCCTCCTTTTTCTCTTGCTCTGCATTATTTGTAGGTGCATAACATTGTATGATTGTGACCTTTCTTCCTTTTGAGTTGAATCTTGCTGTCATGATCCTGGAGGAGATTGGTTCCCACTGCATGAGAGCCTTCGATGCTCTTGAGGACATCATGATAGCCACTCCACACAGTGTGCTCGTGGTTGGCGTCTGGGTGACCGGAGTAGATTATTGATTCTCCAGTTGACAGTTTGGAGAGTCCACTCCCATTCCATCTGCTTTCGCAAATCCCAAGCACTTCGATGTGATACCTTCTCATCTCCTTTGCAATCTGGGCTGCCTTACTGGGTTCAAACATCGTGCGGACATTCCATGTCCCCACGTTTACTTTCGCTTTCATCGAGAGAAGACACATCGGCCAATTGGCTTCCCGAAGGCTTTCACCAACTGGCGTCATTTCGCCTCTCCGATTCCAGCGGGGAATAAGTTTGTTTTCATTTTTTATATTTTGTTTGTGCTTTGAAGTTTGTTTAGCGGTTAGATTTGTTTTACGGGGTAGGGTTGCTAGCCCTATGCCCAACCTTCCCTCTTTACCCGGGCTTAGGACCGGCTAGTAACTAGTAAACTAGTTAACCAGGCGAGGTTGAGAACCAACAATAATGAAGAAAAAGCTACGATGAACAAAACCAAGAACTTGGATCAATAAAGAAAAATATACATGTATGCATTGATGCAATTTCTAATTCTTGAGTATTGATAGAAAAGTTTAATGACCACATTTACGCTGTGACCCCTAAGATAAGTAAAAACACATTGGCAGTGTAATTTGCTTGACGTATGGAAATGAATAACGACACATTGAGTTTAAGTGTTTGAATTATAAAAATACTGCAATACTGCGAATTATTGACAGTCCTTACTCTTTTATGACGCAAGTTCTCCAAGTATTTCTTTGTCACAATCACTGGTTGGGAATGAACTCGAGTAAATGGATCCTCTTCCTTTGAATTCATTGCTTCTTCACTTTCTTTACGAATTGCCTCTTCAGCTTGTTGTACACTCAAAGCACGATTACGTTGATTTATAGATGTGATCGATTTAAAGCCTAAAGTTCTGCGTCTTTCAATTCGTTCAGCTTGAGACTCTATTTCTTCTATTTCAATATCTAAGTGTTTTAGTAATTCTGTATCACCATCTGCTTCTGCTTGCTCTCGTTGTTTGATCAATTCAGCTTTATGTAGAGCAAAATTCGTTGGGGCTTTCTGAAATCGACGTTTGGATTGTATGATCTAGAAGTAAAAGATGAAAACAGACTGTAAATGATTAAATATGTTGATAATCAAGATTTACCAACAGTAGCTAACAATACGAACACAAAGGGATGGTAAGAGTAATGATAACATCAAAATAAATCAACCGCATACGAACCTTGACTGGCAAATGTAAATTATTTCTAAACATTTCCATACTACTCTATGCACTTAACTATGAGCTATACCTTTAGTGAATTACCAGTACAACTGTTGAGGACGTTGGATCTCCATAAATTAAAACATCATGTCTATATTTGGTAAAAATCACTTTGTAAAATTTGAATTTCTCTTCTTCGTGCCTTTTCTGAAAATATCACGAACCGCTTCTTTTTGTTACTTTCAGTGACATCAATTTCTTGGATTTTTTTATCCCGTTTAATACACTTGCTTATTTTTCTACATCCACGGTATTTCTGTGGTTATTAAATTAAAAGGTGATCGCATACTTTACACCTTCTTAGGTTGAAGTAAACCTCTTCAATTCAACACTATCTTCATGGTGTTCGTTCAACAATTTTTTTGAAAAACGTTATAATTCCCTCACTAGTATAACCAGTTCATTCTTTCAAAATCTAGTACCGTAGCGAGCCATAAAAAAATATCTGCCTACCAAAACCAAGGTAACTGTGTGTAAAGTTGAAAAGTAAAACTCAAAGGTCAGAAACTGAATCAATTTGAGACTAAATCTACCTATGATACATAACCTCATCGATCATAAGACTAGTGTGATAAATCTTAAATAACACCATAGTATTTCATCAAATTGAACATTAATAAAACCCTAATCCTAACGGCAATGTAGTATATCTTAATTTAGTAAACACATGAGATTTCTGAATCGATAGAATACGACTTAAAAAAATAAGGATTGGTACATTATTTTAGCCACCAGCTAGCGATTAATTTCCACAAGTTGAAAGTCATAGTATGGGAAATTTGCATACAAATGGAACTGACTGACACTACCTAAACTAAAATAGCATATTTTCTACTTACTAAAAACAGAGAAAATATCATTTATTAGCACAAAAGAAACGATAGAATGAGACCCATTGAAACGTGCATAACATTAATAACTGAATGCTAAACTCCAATAAATGAAGAGATTATCAATTGTACAATAAAATATGAGGTAAAAACAGATACATAGATCGAACCTGTTCAACAACTCGTTCATCTCGAATAGGACGATTAATTGCTTCGATAATCTCAGCAGCTTTGTCCCGAACGAAATTTAACGTCGGAGGTTTCATGTTCGCTAGATGTATACGCCTTAGCCAACTATCAAATTCATCTTGCTGAAATTCGGAGTTCGAAATAAACGCCAAACGAAATGTACTTTGATCCTTTCCTACGCGTACTACAATCCCTTTATTAGTTCTGTTAAATGATAAAGACAGAAGTGAAAAAAAAACAGCGAAAGAGCTAGTTTACTATAATTAGTTTTCGTTGCACTGTCAAAACTCCATGAGATCACAAATGTGGTTCATTGATTTAGACATTTAACTTCCAAACAACGGGTTGAAAGTTTCAACTCTGACCGTAGAGATGTGGCTCATCAGCTCAGGCACTTGACTTCCAAGTGATGGAGCCAAACTTAAAATCGTATTACATCTAAGGCAGTTTGCATAACCTGGTAGTATCATAAGACTTACACAATGTGCGATTTATGGCCTAGTTTATACTGCTGCACCAGGTGCAGTGACACTATTTCTCAAACTTTCAGATACCAAGGTTTTCACTTCCAGATAGTATCACTCTAATTCCAGCAAAACATGAACAGCCCATAGCCAAACAGAGGAAAATGAATGTAGCTGCTGAACTGGATGCATTGTGATATGAAGTAAAGTACAGCCTCATTGATCCTTTAAAACTTCAAACTCCCTCGAAGCCCTCACAACCAATCACAATATGCCAAAAATCTGCGGGAAACCACGTGACCATGCCTATGGGTCTCAGATTACCTAAAAGACTTATGTTGATTGGAAATTTCTTTTTAGAAAAGTGTAGAAAGCATCAAAGTAGGTGAAAACACATTTATACCGCTATATCTTGTGCACATTTTGAATTGACAAAAACCCTTTGTCGTTTGACACTTCTTCCTGTTTTCATAGTATCGAGCAACCCTTCAGAGTGAAGCCTAAAGATTACTTTTCGGAAGTCCACTTGTGCATCCAAAAGTTAGTCACGTTATAACACCCTCATTAGCATTCACACATAAAAATTGCACTGTCAAATACAAATATAAGATAACCAACTCATCACTCTTAAACCTCATTAGCCATTATTTCACTATGTAATAAGGATAACTACGCAGTATCGTTCACGTATGGTGGAATTACCGTGCAACCGATATCGAGGTTACACGGAAGGAACTAGGCAAGAAAGGCAATCCAGTCAATGAAGTTGCGAGCCTTCACTGACTGAGGTGGCGTTAACATGTGTCGAGCATACCGAGCTACCACCTCCTTCGATATGCAAGGTTAGCCAAAGGAGGACTGGATTGGAAGAAGGTTGAGAGTGGCCAGAACAAAACATGCAACCAGTCTATAAAGTCCTTGACTGATAGTTTACACCGAGTAAGGAGGTGCAGACTGCTGAGTTGTGGTCCTCCAGGGAGAAATCAATAGTTGAGGACTTTTAACAGCATAGCAGAAAATCTATCACAGTGGTGCACACGCATTTACTCTTTGATATCCTTTAAAGTATGGACATTTTCACTAGCCTTTATTCTCTGAATTCTTTCTCCTCTCATACACTTTTATCTACTTTGATATAACGCTTTCTGGACCCACTTTTGTTTGCGTGCAACTTGAAAGGATGTATTCCTTTGTTAGGTTCTACACTGATTTGTTCATCTGTCTGTCGTAGAAATGGTAATCCCACGTTTTATGTGATTGCAATTCCCTTACGATAGAACATTGACCTTCCCTAAGGTATGAGAAAAAGCATACACGTTCATACTAGAATGCTTAAGATAGTGTGAATCAATATTTGTGTATTTAGTGTAACATTTATGTTGCGGACTGGAACACCGATCCACTCACCAAGGTTTGCGCAGCCACATACTATCATTGGCCCTCACATAATAGGTGTAGTTCATTACCTACTGCACAAAAGTGCACAACGTTGGTGAGTACATTTCGACTGTGACATGACCAGAAGATACAATCATTGACGACAGCATGCCAAGTGTAATTTACCACGAATATTACATAACTATTTCTTGTCAAATAATTTTTCATCTCATTTCTTCTCAGTTAAGCTAACATTTTATTCCTTTATTAGTTTCTTTGCAATCAATGTGTTGTATCGAGTGGAAAATTACAACACTTCAAGTTCCTTACTCTTGAATCAATTCTTGAACAACTTCCCAACATTAGAAAAACTATACTTAAGTTAGATAGCCAGTTACATCAGGTCTTCTTCCCACCTTTACAATCACATATATCATAATTTCCGTAGAATAATTAGAGAAAATGAAAATCAAATCCTTTCGTCACGAGGTCAAACCTACTCCAAGTTCTGTGCCCTGAAACACACATGGCCCTCATAGTTTGGTGTTAACTTGAATATTACTAATCTATTAATTCATCTACCAAATCATGCTAACAGTCACTACGAGATGACACGTAATCACTAGTCTACGGAAAAATTTACGGTTACATAAAAACACTGAATAAAACTAATAGACAAAAAAAAGTATCGTAAGCTATACAATATGTACATACCGAGTATCTCCAAGGTCGTATATTTTTGGAGTCTCCACAACATCAATAATTTCAGCGCAACGATAAATTGGTACACCTTGATGTAACCCAATGTTAATACGTACAAAGCATCCCTTAACTAGGCTCTGGAACGGGGTAAGACAAAGAACGGTGACTAATTACACCTTCATGTAAAAATCAATTTCATTATAAACTATAAGCAAGTACTAAACTGTAACTATAAAACCCTAGAGAGGAAAAGAGAAATAGGAACAACCCATGCCTATTATGGAGACTATACCAATTCTTTTGACCAATCAATATTGATGTAATCCACATAAAAGCTAGGCTTATAATAAAAATAGATAACAGAAATTGGTTTACAGATAGTAACTAACGTTATGCTCCACTGCATAAACATTAACTTTTGTTGAACACTGCGTTACGGTCATCACACTATGGGACACAATATTACATCGAAATACATTTTAAGATGGTTTACTTTAACAACGATAATTCATCGGTCTCATAAAATCCTATTAACACTGAGGTGACGTACTAGTATTGAAATGAAAACACGTTCAACTGTTTCGTTGGTAATAGCTAGACTTTAAAAATGTAACAAAACGAACTGCATAATCACATGATGCATTAGTGCAACAGGCATATGAATATCTCAACATAATTGCACATAACACGACCTAAGAGAATCATATTTTTTGCACAATTATTATTATTTTTCCCTTGGGTTCCTGGTGTAACATAAGGCTTCAGCAGCACGCCACTATTGCACTCTGTTCTCTATAGTCTTTTGAACCTGGCGCTACGACTGCCCACCACCTTTCATTTCTTCCTCACATGATTTCCTCCATGTCACCCTCATCTGGGACGCCCAACTCGTCGTTTCCCATTTGGATTCCACTCGAGGGCCTGACCTAACGCATGATGTCCCCAGTCGGCCTTCTCAGTGTATGCCCGATCCGTTTCCACTTTCTTCTGCATATTTGTTAGGTGACAGGTTCTTGGTTGGTTCGTTGCCAGAGTTCCTTGTTGCTTATTATTTCTGGCCATCTGATCTTCAGTATCAAGCGTAGGCATTTTTTGCACAATAGTGCTTGCAAACAAAGATTATTAGTTAGAAGATAATACAATAGATCATACTGGAAATATTTAAAGCGTGATTAATAGAAATGCTGAATATTTCATTAGACTAGTAAAAGTATAAGGCAGCAGTTCTTGAAATGATTGATATCTCTACTTGTTGTAAGCTCACCAATAGGTGTTGATATAAGTTAGTGTTTAAGCAGTCAAGCATCAAAACTAATCTCTGAAAGCTGAAATAAACAAAAGCTAATGGAGACTAATAAGAACTGATATCTACAAGACCATGAAGTCAGGGAACCCCACAAGTTATGAAAAACTACATAGTCTAACGCTACTTTCAGATTTAAAGGAACGATCAGTCTAAAGTGCTAGAAATTATCTTGACTCGTAATCAGACATACTAGTGGAGTACAAAATCATGTTTCACAATTTATTACATTTTTGTAAATGAATGCTGCGCAGTGTTTGAAGGTCACCAATACATCATTTGATTTGTACTTCCCAAGGATGAACCATTCATCCTTAATTCAAAGCTCCACTAGCCATTTACCACACAACCAATGCCATGCAGATACCGATGACAGAAAACTTTTAACCTCCTCATCTTAACCATCGTCAAAGACTTATAGTTCAATCAGGTCCACAGAAAAAAGTCGGTAATTAATTGAGTTTCAGCAAATGGCTAGTTAGTTTTACCGATAATAAAATTTGCGTTTGAAAAATACCTTTTTGGTTTTTCTGCTTGAAAATGTAACTGTTATTTCATACTTATAAAGTGTATGAACACAGTTGGTTAATTAATACAGCAAAGTTACAACCATCAATCTCTACTACTTCTTTTAGTCCCAACATTTTTTTCGGTGTATGATCAGTAAACGCAATGTCCTACATGGTATTGGAAAATATACCTAAATCAAGACTTTCTATGGTCATAAGGAATGGAATGACTATTTCACTGGCTGTTTTAGTTACTTGAAAAGTGGCATAAATATGAAGGTTACTGGCGAAATTTAGCACGAATACCACTTGTGCAGTTTGTGAAACATCTTTCTACTCAGTCTTGACACAGCTAAGATACTAGTGCCTTGGCTAAACCCATTCAGCTGTTTAAGTGACCGCAGTATAATATATAAAGCCGATATAGATCCATATCCTCAGAGGTTAAGGGAAGCCTTAATGCTACCTACTAAAATTCGGTGATAGTATGGTATCCTTCTGTCCATCCAATTTTGAACAGCTATAGGAAATGTAGAAAACTCGTACGTTGAATGTCCTCTTGAACCTAAATTATGTAGCAAATGCTTGCAAAAAAATGTCTCATGTTCAACCAAATTTTCGCAGTGGAAATAAAAGAGGGTGGGTGGGAAATATAACTTTGAACCACGTAAACTAGAAACAGGAAATTATCCTGTAATTCAGTACATCTAAGCAGTGTGCTTAATGTTAATAAATCAGTGTGCGAAGTGGGCAACAAGTGTGAAATGACTGCAGGTGTCAACAATACAACGACACTAACTAACACTTAAGAAGCAATGCAGTTGGTTGAACTACTAAGACTTTATTGAGTAGATTAAGGCTTTTATAGACAGAAATTGTGTAATAAGGTGAATCGAAACTAGTGATGGATATTACATACCCCTAACACACCCTTTAAATGATTTCACCATCATTAATTTATGGAAATATGAACTCGGTATCTGAAAATGTTGCAATAGTCTTGTGCAATGATGTACATAGAGTAGCTGAACTCAATCCTTACTTCGGCCAAAAGCCATGACATCGAAGAGTTCCATATTGACCAATTCTGTACTCTACGCATTCGCTAGTTAAATGATAAAATCACACTAACTTCGAAGGATTCCAGAATACATGTTAGCCGATTATGCATTTAAGGGTGTACTCATAAATTCCCTAGATCCATTTGCTCTGAAAAGGATCTACAATGAACCATGAGTTATTTAAAAAACATATAACAAGGATATACTGATGGAGATGGAATTTAGGTTATAATGAAGTTTAATAAATTATTTGTTAGGACTTCCCACAGCGCTCAACAACAGACATATATATAAATAATGCAGAAACTGGTATTCTTACGTAACGTTTCAATTTGACACATAAGACAGCATCGAGACCGCAGTCAACAAACAGAAATAAAAATGAAAATGTTAGCATTTGTAAGAGGTGAAGTGAATAAAGATGTGAAAGCATTCATCTCACTGCAATATCTTGCAAAATCGAAGACTATCAATTTTAGCCATCATATAGACCGCCGAACTGTAATTTCAAACTTTCCTCAAGAGAAAAACGTAACAGATTGTTGCTATCTTGGTCTTGTTACTCCATAATAGGGTATTAGGGTAAATGGTGGTTTTGCATGCATAACAGATCTTTCGATTACTTTAATCAATGGATTTCGACTACCTCATCAATTGACTTCCAAACCCAACCTTTGCACTACTCACTCTGCAAATATAAAGCATGCGAATGACGCTACAAAAGCCAATAACCGATACCATTATAATTTAATTTTAACAGAACTCACTATTGCACAGCACACTTCGTCCTTAGAAGGCGTTTAGAAATTTTGCCACTAGAAGAAACCAGTAAAGTGTTTGGTATTTAACCATTAACAGTAAAGGACCGGGGTAAATTCCAACAGATGAAGCGTTAAATGCTACTAAACTACTCCCCTATCTGTTGTTACATGTAACATTAATTTGGATCAGTCGTGAAGTAATAACTTGTATTTGAGAAGTGAGAAACAGATCGCAACAATTCTAAGATCACCAAGTAATGCATGGAAGACTTTATATTTTGATAGCATTTTAACTTTACAGGACTGTATCATGTGTAATCTGAGTCAACTACAGAAGCTTGGAATAAGAGATCAGTTTCTGAAGGCCAAACAAAGTGAACCTGGTGTAAGTACTTCTACGATGACGTAGCTTTTCTAGATACTACAGTTGGTCTACTTTTCCCAAAGTCGAAACCGCTCACCACCATTAAGTGTAATTGCTTTCCCCATCACTTTATTATTCGCCAACCACCAGTGATTATGATTCTGCTAGTCAATATCAACATGATATCTGGGTTCAATGTGTAGCAGTTCAAGTTGCTGCAAGCCCCATTAGTCATCAAGGTAAAAGACAGTAAGATGAAAGGCAAATAAATAAGAAGGAAAGTAATCGAAATTAGTGGAAAGCCATAAGACAGAAGGTAAGACAATAACGATATCCTATATGATTAGGATGAAGATAATACTTAGATGAATCTCCACCACTGGGATCCATCCTGTTATATCACCGACAGTCTACAACTACCAACTTTGGGCTTTCACAGGGACCCCAACCTGGAAGTTTACATTTCCCTATATGATTTGAACCAACAAACAGCCATTCCGTGGTCTGACCCCACCTTTTAGTTTGACTACCCTTAACCTTCTTGCAACCTAATCCTACCTCGTCTTACACTACACAACTAGGCAAATGGTAACTACGCATGCACAACACATGCCCCATCCATCTGAGCAGATAAAAGTTTACAACCTAATCAGCTGACTTCTCCTACCTCTTCAACCCACATCTCGACGACTGATCTCCATTTTCCTCATACAGTAGTTCGACTCCAAAGACAACGGCGGTCAAAACCTGGAGCTTTTGCATGTCCTCCATCCTGAATAATGTTTTATAGCCACATACCAGACAGAGACCAGCTGTAAAGCACAATTGTTTCCCAGTTAGCCATCGAATATTTCGTCGGCGCCACCGATAGTAAATGCAGCCTCTCGTATCCACGCGGAGATTTCATCAATCACTGAGCTACTAAGCCTGATCTAATCTCTTAAGTATGCCAAGTGGTTGCCACGTTTAACCACTTCGATCCCTACTGTCACGAGTATTAACAAAGACTGGTCTTGAAACAACAATTCGCATTTCATGGGAGTTAGGTAACGCATTTTAAACATTGTCAGATTGTTACTCATTGTGTCTAGAAGACTGCATCTTCACCTAACAGGAATATGACATCTACGTACTCAACGTCTATGGATGAGTTTCTTACGACAAGACCAGTTTCCATAGAGTTAGATGAGACGGTAAATAGGCGCCAAAATTAAATAAAAATGGAGACAGTCGATAACCACTGACGGACACCACTCAAAGTACATAAACTCACTCGACACCTCACCATAATCATTATCATCATCATTATCAACATAGGACCAGGCATTACTGCGTAACGGTCCGAGTTGCCACATCTCACGTCAGTTCATCAAGTAGAAAGGTAGTGAGGTGAAGGATGAAGACAAGTGAATGCAGTCAAGAGAAATATAAAATACGAGAAGAAAAGAAAGAGGAGTGACAAAATGGTGAGATTCAGTATGGCGTTGTTAAGATGAGGATAATGTGTGTATACATCTGCGCCACTGACATCGGTTCTCAGTCATATCACCTAGGGTCTCCAACCACTGGTTCCTCTTGTCCCGCGGACCCCAACCACCTAGTCTGCATTGTCCTGCATGGCTTAAGCCAACAGTCAGAGACTTCATACATTGGTGCCATGTTTTAGTCTGGCCACCTCGGGCCTTTTTCCAGCCTGGACTCACCTCAGCCAACATTGTGTGACAAGGCAATCGGTGACTAGGCATACGTAGTACATGTCCCAACCATCTCAGTCGATGAAGGTTCATAACCTCGTCAACTGACTTACCTCTTCTCCCTAAACCTCTACACTTGACTTCTGCATTACTCACGGAATACGTCCTATACTACGAAGGCAACGGTGGTCAAACACTTGAAGCCTTCTCATATCTTCCACTTTCAATGGGCATGTTTCACAGCCATACAGTAGAACAGAGCGGACTGCTGTGCAGTACACGCAACCCTTAATAGACAAACGGATATCACGGCGGCGCCATAGGTGGCGCAACAACGCAACAACGGATATTCCAGTACAGATTGAGTAATGTGAAAATAATGTGATGTGCTTACCCGGGACTCCTTTTAGTGGGGCACTCCCATAAGACTTTTCGATCGATGAAGTCAAGCACTGCCTTCATGTCAAGAAATACAGGCAGTATCACGTGCCAGGTGTGTCGGGCCTCCATGAATTGCGAAGGACGACGATCGTGTCGATACACCCACAACAAGGTTTGAAGCCTGCCTGGTTTTCTCAGATTTGTTATTTCCTAGCTCTAATTGAGCGCCTAGTAATTGTTGAACCTGGAATCTTAGACATTATGTCCGTCAAACTTATTCCTAAATGGTTATCACAGACGGGATGTCTCTCCTCTAAGACCGGGACAATCAGAGATTGAGACCAATCCGAGAGGATCATATGTGATTTTTATTTGTCAGTTAGCACTTCGACCAATCTAATCAGAATTTATCGATCAGTATCATTAATTTCCTTTAATGCTAGTTAATTGGAATTTGCAATATTTACTCCTTTCAGTTTACCTACAGCCTTCTCAACTTCTGTGAGTTGGAGGCTCTGTCTCAGTGTTTCATTCCAGATTTGACAGGATAGTGAGCAAGCAAAGAGTAATTAGGGTTATTGAACTCTTTCTAAAAGTGTACCACCCACCATTTCAGTCGTCACTGCTGTGAGTGAATCCCAGGCTTGTTCTTTTTTTCGCTATGCTCTCAATAACCTTTGGCGTTTTTGGACTTATTTGTTTCATAGGTCTAAATAACCGTCACATATTGCCTGTTACGATCGCATTCTGTATCTCTTTGGCCTTCAATACTCACCATTACTTACGTTTATTGCATAAACTGCTTATTAGTCTATATTACAGTTACTTTCGCTCTTCGTTGCGCTCGGAAGCTGAAGGTATACGTCCACGCATATCCATTAATTAAAAAGTTGCTGAGACCGACTACCCTTTTCTTATCTTTTTCTGGAGACCAGTTACGGTGTCTAACGCTGTTTTTACAGCAAATTGGAGATGCCACCAAGCGTTATCCTGTTCCTGTACCTCTGTCTCCACTTCACTGAAACCAGCCTCAGTATTCTCATTATCATTATCAAGTAGCACTTGAAACAACCTTGCAACTGCACCTTGTCTGCATCCAATTAGGCGGATACGTACACATGATCACTATCTTAACATATGTTGCAAGGGTGGCAACCTGCTACCGCTTATGTCTAGCTATAGATGGCATCCACATTGTTTATGAGCATGGTTAAGTGGAAGTCACCATGTCAGATGTTTCGTTATATCTGACGTTCATGCTGACAATATATAGGTGGTTATCTGAGCATACTTGTTCTCGTTTCGAGCCATGTGATGTCATCCCGGGATGTAGGAAGCATGGTCCCTTGGGCCTCACTCGGCTTTACTAGACCGACAAATGCTAATCCAGAACAACTTCCTTTTTTGTGCGCTGCGTCGTACGCTTATGTCACTGCTTAGCCCAATGAAAAGGGAATTCAGAACATCTGCACAACAACATGTTAACAAATCGAAAAGATGGTTGTCTCCAGCAGTTTTGTTCTACGATTTTGCTAGAAAATGATACATTGTCTGACTAGGAAGGCACTAACACTAAACTGATACATGCAAATGCATCATAGAGCGATAAGCAATCATCGGAATAGACTAATAACCTAACAACTATGACCAAGCCTTAACTGAAGAACACATAACAGTTAGTACCCAAACAGGGGTAAAGAGGAAAAGAAAAGTAGAATGCATCTCTATATTCCGTTTACAGACGGAAATAATAAGTGTGTGATCAAACAGAAATTGACTAAGCACTGACAGAGGCATAAGTGATTTTCTTCTTGATATCATTCAGTTCATCATAAAAACAGCGTTGGCATCTCTATCAAGCTGTGCCATCTATGGTATCGATGAAATAGTCGACTACCATAGTCGACAAACACAGTAGAGTTGTGGTTCATTGGTTTAGGGAGATGACTCTCAACTGATGGGTCACGGGTTTTAACACCACTTCACCTACCGAGGTTTGAACAAGCAGATAGTATTATCGATTCTTACACGCCAGGTGTGGCTTATTGCAAACTGCACGAATGTGCAAAAGGTAAATAGATGGATTTCGATCCGAAACACACTGTAGTTGGAACTGAACATAGCGTGATTATGAACATTTTCCATCTTAAAAAGCATGCAGTAATCGAGTGTTCCGGACTTCAGTCTACAGGTGTGATCGAAAAATAAAATGGCAAGAAAAATTGTCAGGAGCAATACACAGATACTTACATCGAAAAATGGCATATGAACCCACTTTTCCATTTTAAAACGAGACAAGCGAATACGGGAAAGATGTTCCAAAGAAGAAACCAATTCGTCTTCGGGTGAACGACTCCTGCCCCGAGCGTCGTCCTCACTTGATGAACCTGATCTCTGTGAACCCGATAAACTTGAGAAGCTGGACAAGTTTTGAAGTTGAAAAAAACGGTGATATTTTATAAACTAATTCTGATATAATCAAAGTATCTGAATGATGCTTAAGACTATTGTGCTAATACCATAGAAAGGAAGACCAATGGAATTTAGCATCAAGTAAATAAGTCCTGATAACCTAGTGCTTGAACTTTCGCGGCTCAAAAAGTTGCTTCAATTGTAATATGAGATCTCTGAAGTAAGGTGTTTAGCAGAGATGGCTACTAAGAATACACTTTTAACTGATCTTTTAAGAAATTTCTTTAACTTCGACTTTTTTATCATCAATCTTTTCCGTAAAAAACTATGTATACATCAATTCTGAATGACAAAAAGGCTGAAAATACAAAGTACTAAGAGCAGCTTACAGAAATCTAAAGGAAATTGGTATGGACTGACGAAACGATGCTTTATAAAACACAAGCATCATCATCGTAGAGGGTAACTGAATAAGTTGACTTTATTCAGCTAAGCTTGCTGCCTGAAATTTCAGCAGTACCACCAGTTCAGAGGTATAATGCCAATAAGATATCTGTGTTTATTATGGTATATTTCCGTACAACGTTTACACTGATGTATGGATGTTACGAATGGCTACTAAAAAAGACCTAAATGTCACAAGTATTCGATAATCAACGTTTACATGCAACAGCCACTAACTGAGTAGTGTAGGGGTTGAATGTTGCTTTAGTTTTAACTAACCAATATTGAAATATACAAACCTACATCGGTGGAAATATTTAGAACAATGATACTACTTGCCTGTGGCACAAAAAAAACTAGGGAGAGCAAACCACAACACCAACCCATAAAGTCACCGATTTTTGATTAAATGAGCATCGGGAATCATGGTGTTTTTTTGTTTGAATTTTCATACTAAAGCAGACTGGTTAGCTCATGTAGCGTAGCTTAAAACAGATGCGCGGTCTAAATTTAGTGTTGCATCTGATTTCCCGTCCTCGACCAACATGAAAGAACTACCATTTTATATTCAACACTAGCCTGATAAGTTTTGTAACCTAATGTTCACTTTGTAACTCAATAACTATATTCTATCCACCTTCGACAGCTAACGATACGAAGAATAATAGTTTGAGTCTAATAAGTCAGTGATTACGGTGAATAACATGAAACTACATATCCACAAACGACTTCGTTTTCAACTAATGAATTTTAAGTTAACTCATTAATTTGAGAACTAGTATGTAACCACTGTCAATCAACTCAATACATTTTGAGTTCACGGTATTACAAAAACATGCACTGGACGTACTTAAAATGGTATGTAACACAAATGAATCCATATGTCGTGGACTTCCACCATCAAAAAACCACCTGAAATAAGGAAAAAAGAATGATACCCAGACTGAAACAACTAACCTTTGACGCCTAGCCACAGGACGAGAACCAGTTCGACTTGAATCAGATGAGTCTGATGCCTCTGAAGAGAACACACGCTGAGACATGGATTGATGTTTTTCTTGAATTCCTGAATGCGGTTTGGGGCTATCTCCATCAGTGTCTGACGAACTCCCAGCGCTGTTTTGATCCCTTTCTCCTGATGAGTGAGTACGACGCTTTTTCGCAGCTTGTCGTTTTCGACGCTCAATGAGTTCTTGGAATTTAGAACTGTGTTCTACCTGAAAAATTTTTATTCAATAATAAAGTAATTCGCATACCTTGAACACATCGAAAAAAAGAAAAATACGAAAGTTACGAAAAAACTGTCTGACCCTGCACTAAGTTATAAATGCACATCTACTGTGAGCTGATAAAAATCTTAGTAGACTGTAAGCCGTTCAGAGGTATATCCAAATGGTTGAAAATCGTGTACCTACACCAATAGGCAATAGATATACACGGCACTAAATTGCAATAAAGTACCCAGCAATTATTGAGTCAAACGAAGGGAAAACATACCTTCTTTTTCTCCAAAGCAATTTTGCGTTGCCTAAGACCCTTCGGTCCCAGACCACCACTTGAATCGCTATTGCCTGCATCGTCACTGTCTGAAAAGACATTATGGTACGCAGATCTCTTTGATTTGTTTATTTCTCCGGTAGTTTGCTTGGACATGGAAGCCGCCTGTTGGGCTTTTTCTCTTTCTCTCTTTTCCTTCAGTTTCTGTTTGACAGCCCTGCGTGCTCGTATAGCATCGCGCCTTTCAGCTCGCTTAAATAGTTCCTCCTCTCTTTCCTTTTCGCTCATTTTGGCCAACCTTCGTTTGTCATCCTCCCCACCAATCAGATTATCATCCAAACCGTCATCTTCATCCTCATCAAGATCATCACTGGATATTTCCCCCTCTTCAATTCCAGCTAAATTCGGGTCATGCATCACTTCGTTGTTTGGGATGGAGTTTTTTTGTGTGCGGTGCGACTGCAACCACTAAAAGGTTTATGTTAAAGCATACGTTATACAAACTAACGCTCATGTACTAACCTCCACTTCATCTTCGCTACCCGATGAGTCAGAGCCAGAAGAAGGGCGACCTTTCCCCATCCACCTTTAATCTAATATAGCCACCCTCGTAAAACGGGCCACCGAGAAAAGCCAGCAACGACCTTAATAGGTAAACGCCCACGTCAACAAGTAATCAGCAAAGGGAAGACAGTAACCTGTAAAGAAAAGGGGTAGATTTGAAAACCACCAAATAGACATTCAAATGAGAAGCGAAAAGACCGTAAGTAGAATCGAAAACATGTGACCACTTTGGAGTTTTTCACTGAAGCACGCTACTGTAATCTGTGCAATTTTCCACAACAATGTGACCATTATTATTAGTATTATTACTATTATTATTAAACCCCAAGCCTTCAGTGATAGAAATGGGTCTTAAAGTATTCTCAGCATTTATTAGTAAAATAACAAGAAACTGTTCAGTTGTTGTCTGCAGTGTGTTAAAACAGTGATATGGCCAGTTGCTAAACACCACGTCTAAACTAACTGCATCAAAACCGATTACTGCAGGTGGGATGTGTCATCGTGTCTTTAGGAATAAGGATGACAGGCCGATGACGTGTATTAAACATTGCTACTGGTGGCACTGGAGATTCAGTCTTGCTTTGAAAGCATTGCTGACCGGACCAAAAACAGCGAGAAATATACTTTTAGAAGTAGATCTGGCTGTGATCTATAAACTCTAAAACCTCGTCTTTTGAGATGGGGAAAAGTAAATGAGTTGGAATGTATATCATTAATGATCTATATATGAATGATTATTTTCTACACTGATGTAAAAATCTGGCGGGAAATTAGGGATGACGAGGGTGTACGTGCACTTTAGAAAGACCTAACCAACTTGTTTACCTGGTCAGAAAAGTAGCTGATGTCTATCAACGCAGGAAACTGTTAGCATACATATGGGGCACACAGATGGCTACACCAACGATATTGCTGGGACTCCTCTACTGTAAGTACTGACCCATAATGACCTAGGAGTTACAGTGCGTTATCATTTGAAGACCACATCACACTATCGACTGGTCCCAGCTCGCAGTTTTAAGACACTGAGCATAATACAGAACGTTTACAAAAGTAAGTGGTGTTTACCACCTAATACATATCCCTAGTTAGGTCTAAGCTAGGAATCTATATATGCAGCAAATCCTTGTCTGAAAGGTGACATATATTTTCTGGAAAAGGTTCAGAGAGCAACCACTCGTATGATCCCTGTGATGGCTGGCCTGACCTATGAAGATCGAGTTAAGAAGCGTAACCTCCACTTTCTATCCCACCTCAGACAGACGGTACATCTAATCATGCAACACAGGATCCTAAAGAGTGATTCTGTACTTGAGCTATCCCTCTTCCTTTCTACTAGGTCGAAAAAGCTGAGAGGACATAGTAGGAGAATATGAAATAAAAGGACGAACACAGTCTCGGTAGAGTACTCGCTATCATATCCAGTAAACAACTCCTAGAACTAACTACCAGAAGTGGTGTTCACGTCATCAATTGCCTCCTTGAAAGGAAGAATGGATAAGCACAAAAATCTACTGAAAAAGGATTAAGATAGGCTCACAGCCTTATATTCCCCTCAACAAAAAATCTAAATCTGAACAGGTTTAGTATATTGTTGAAACTATTGGTTCATGCCAAACAAAAATTCCGAACTATCATAACCTTTTCCTATCTCACCTCAGAGTTACCCAGTCAAACACGAATGCTGAAATAATGCATTAGTTATGCTTGTGTAAAGCTAAAATTTCCAGCATTACCAGTGGCCAAAATGAAACAACAATCTATAAACCAGGACGAAAATTAAGTTTGCACAGGGTGTAAAGTAAGGCCAGCAAGTTATGCATCAGAGCGAAACCAACCTGCAAGTAATCACCAAATAGGCAGTCAAACCCCTAAAATTAAAGGCGCCAATGAGAAGTAGGGATACCGCTACACCCTTGACTGTTTTAATAGTCTAGTTTGAGGTTTATGGGGATTTTGTCTAAAGCTGGGGAGTTCCCAACTGGAACGTTACAGATTTTCAGTTAGCCAGGTTTGCAGTGATCTACTATTAACGTCATTCTTTGTTTAAACAGTCGTTCAAGGTTAACCTCAACATGAAACATTTCCACATGAGCAGGATGGTTGAGGCTACAAGTTATCGTCAGGTATTATCGTAATCACTATAAGTTGTAGCGTTGTTTTTGGAAATACAAACATTTTCTGTATTAATATTTTACACATTTGCATGGTTTTTACAGTGTCGTCAGTCACTGGGTCGCTTATCACATCGTTTGTTCATGCACGAAGTGTTTCAGCCCTGGCTACACTTCCACTTCTTAAGTAAGTACAATTATTCAGGAAGAATGATGCTCACAGATCACAGTGAGTTAGTTGTCCCTCCGAATTACATCTGAAAGGACTCATGGTTATTTTTCATATCAGCACCTTCTCATACAGCATTTAGGACTTCTCCTGGTGAAAACTTCACAGACACAGAGGCCAATCACTCATTATTCGAACCTGTTACATACCTACCAGTACAAGACCAAGAAAGAACACAACAGCTTAATCGGGTGAAATGCCATATTTTCGAGGTTGTGCCAGGATACCGAAGCGTTCCAACTAACTGGCTAGTGAGTCGATTACGGGCGATGTGACGTAACACGACAGCGTGCCAAGTGGCGAGGATGCTTGACCAAGTGCCTTCAGCTGAGTGAGTCCAGTCAAACTATCAAGGTCAGCACCGGTGTTGAATCTCGTCGAACCCTAGGCTGTTGATTTTGGGGAAGCATGTGACGCTACAGATCACTCCCCCCTAGTGGGTTCGTGATGACCAAAAGACGACACCAGCCGGAAGTAAAAACCCAGTGGTTTCTCCACTGGTAAAACCCTTCCGACGGGCTCACTGCGTGAATTGGCCCCTGGTTGTCTGAACCCATTCTAGGGTGTCGTGGAAAGTGAAAAATACAATACAAAAAATCGAGCTGTACGCCGATAGCGGTCCTCAGTATCCTGTGATGTTGCTGCACCTGGGATATAAACAGAAGTCCTTAATACCATGAAAACGTGCTGGCAAGAAGTGCTATATGAGGGTAATATGTGGGAGGATTTTCGCAATGCTAGTGAACAAGCAAAACGGTGCCCCGAAACAAAATTTTTTGAACCCGAAAAACCGGTTGGCACATTTTGTTTTACACTACTACGTTCAATACGACTTCGAATAGTCCAGAAACTTGACAGTTTTACCTGATAGTGCTTTCTGTCGCTCCGATGGTTGTTGTATCTGTGCGTAACCAGCTACATCGTCAAGAACTTCGATAATTTTGTTATCTTCCAGTTGACTGTAGCGAGGTGGAACGTCACCTATGATCTTGATACCTACACACTTCCCCAAAATCAACAGCCTAGGGTTCGACGAGATTCAACACCGGTGCTGACCTTGATAGTTTGACTGGACTCACTCAGCTGAAGGCACTTGGTCAAGCATCCTCGCCACTTGGCACGCTGTCGTGTTACGTCACATCGCCCGTAATCGACTCACTAGCCAGTTAGTTGGAACGCTTCGGTATCCTGGCACGACCTCGAAAATATGGCATTTCACCCGATTAAGCTGTTGTGTTCTTTCTTGGTCTTGTACTGGTAGGTATGTAACAGGTTCGAATAATGAGTGATTGGCCTCTGTGTCTGTCAATTTCGTACCAGGACAATGCCTAAAATGTGACTACCTTCGAAATAAGCCCGTTTTAGACGGTCGATATTAACGGTATCTTCACATTCGTTTCGCTCGACCGCATAGAATTTCGCTTGTCGCTCGATCATTCTGGGTGGCCCATCGCAGGGTGGTTCAAGTGGTCGATGAACGGCGTCGTGGCGAATAAACACGTGTGACGTCTTCTGTAAACTGGGGTGAACGAAGACATCAGTCGTTAGAAGCCCGACCGGAGAAGGCCTAACTGGACGCACTGCGTTTGTAAGCCTAGTCATGTAAGATGCCCTGTCGGAAACATGTTTGAAAGTTGAGGGGGAAACAAACTCACCTGGTAGGCGGAGAGTGGTCCCATAGACGAGTTCTGCAGGGGTGCATCCAGCATCAACTTTCAAGGCGTTACGAATACCTAGTAGGACTAGAGGCAGAGCCTCGGTCCACTGAGGTATGTTTGCAGCTGAAAGGGAAGCTTCCAGCTGTCGATGGAAACGCCCTACCACGCCACTTGCTTGTGGATGGTAGCCTGTCGCTTGGGACCGGGTGCAACCTGAAAGTCCAGTTAAGGCGTGAAATAATCCACACCCGAATTGGCTCCCACGGTCGGTTATTACGTAAGATGGACGTTCGAAGTTTGTGATCCATCTTTCGACGAAAACACGAGCGATAGTTTCGGCATTAATATCAACAACAGGCGCTGCTTCTTGTTGTCGCGTAAAACGATCCACACAAATGAAAAGGTAAGTGCATCCATTAGATTCTGGTAGGGGTCCTACGATGTTTATATGGAGGTGGTCGAAACGCATGTCTGGGGCTAGAAAGGAACCCAAAGGGCTCTTGGTGTGTAGCGTGACTCTGTACTTCTGACAAGCTAAGCACGACTGAGCCCACTTCTTAACGTCTTTGCTCATTTTCGGCCAGCGGACACGTTGTGCAATAAGCCTGATGGTGTCTCGGACACTGGATGGGGCAGTTTGTGCAACGTATCGAAGACGCTGCGTCGACATCTCTTCGGAACTACTGGGCACGGTTGACCAGCAGAGACATCTCACAAAATTGTGTTCTTGCCTGATCCTACTAAACATGCTTGTAGCTTGAGAGTTACGGACGGCAACTCATGATGCAGCTCAAGGTCTCCTCTTAGACGCTAAGCCAGTTCAACGAGATTAACGCTCTCGATGCTGTTTATCGAAGCTATTCGAGATAGTGCGTCGGCTATGTGGTTATCTGCCCCAGAAATGTGGCGGATATCTGGCGTCAACTGAGAAATGCAATCTAGTTGCTGTGACTCATGAAAGGGTGTATCTGTCAGATGCCAGGCTAAGGGAGAAGGTTAACGGTTTGTGGTCTGTGAAGATAATGAAGTCACGACCTTCCACCGAATGTCGAAAATGCCGTGCGGAACAGTACATAGCTGGGAGTTCACTACCAAATGTACTATATCTTATTTCCGTGCCTTGCAGCCTCCTCGAGAAAAAGTCTAAGGGTTGCCACTGGTTGTCGGTGAACTGTTGTAGAACTGCTCCGATTACCGAGTCAGATGCATCGACAGCAATACTCAAAGGAGCATTGGGGTCGTGATGCATAAGCATGGTTGCGTTCGAAATGGCTTCCTCGACCATAGGGAAAGCAAGTCTAGCCACGCTGTCCATAGCCACGCACCTAGTAGTCCCTCGAAGTAGATCTGTTAGTGGTCTCATTACAGAAACACGGTTGGGAATAAACCTTCGGTAATAACCTACCAGGCCGTTGAAAGTGAGGAGATGTTTCACAGTGGTCGAATCTGGATAGTTCGTGATAGCCGCCACTTTTTCTCTCACTTAGCATATACATTTGTTGTCAATAATATGCCCAAGGAAGTTAAGTGATTCAACCCCTATTTCACACTTCTGCAGGTTCACTGTGGCGCCATGTATTCAGGTCTTTCGGATACGAGGTCTAAATGCTTAAGGTGAGTTTCCTTATCTGAACTCGCAATTAGACAGTCATCGATGTAGACGTGAACAAAGTTTAAACGACGGAAGACATCATCCATAAAGCGTTGGAACGTTTGTGCTGCATTCCGAAGACCAAATGGCATACTCAGGAATTCAGGCAAACCAAAAGGAGTATTAACGGCAGTCTTCGCGATATCTTCTACTGCCATAGGTATCTGATTGTACACTTTGACCAAATCGGTTTTGGAGAAAATGTTTATTCCGCATAACGTCTTAGTCAGGTCGTAAACATGAGGTATCAGGTAGGGATCCGGTGCTGTTGTTGCTAGGTGATCACAGGTTGGACGCCAGTCGTTGCTATCCTTTTTGGGAACCATATGCAATGTTGATGCTCAGGGACTACTTGAAGGTTTGATAATTTCCGGTTCGAGCATGCAGTCGAACTCACTCTTCGCCGTTTTGAGCTTATCAGGGGCTAGACAGCATGCTTTGGATGCCACAGGCGGACCCGTGGTTGTCACCTGGTGCATTACGTTGCTGGTCATGTACAGAAGGGTATGCTCCGGTAGTTGTAACTCTGGATATTTCTTTGACGCTGCCTGATAGGATGCGTCGCCTGACTGCTTAGTTCTAACGATGGCTAAACTCGGACCTACGTAAATGGTGCCGAAAAAAGATAACCTTGTGTTGTTATCTATCAGACGTCGACGGCGAGCACCTACGAGTGGGTCGCGACGGCTTAGCAGGTCTATGCCAATGACCGGCATAAGAACATTAGCTAGGAGGAAAATCCAGTGAATAGGTTTACGTAAACCTAAGTTGAGGTAAACATACCGTCTCCCAAATGTCGCTTGCCTTGCCATCAGCTGCTTGGTGATTGAAGGATGGGTCATGATGACGTTCCTCTGTCGGTGCGGGGAGAAGGCTAACTCCCGGTCCGGTGTCGACGAGGTAGCGGACTTTAGTTTTTATGTCGGTGGCATGGGGCAAACGGCTGTTTCCAGCGGCTACGGTTGCCATGAATACATGTCGGCGTGACCGTATCTCGAGTTTGTGTCCATGTTGAGACTGCATGGCTTTCGGTATTTCGTGGCTTCGCCTCTGCAAGTATTATGAAACCGGCACCATTTCGGTTTCTCCGCCTTGCTAGATTTAGTTTTGGGGCGATCACGCTAGTCGCTGCGATGCACTGAGATGCGTTTTTGTGATGTGCTACGTGTCCTAGGGCTTCAGGATCGTGGCGACTGTTTAACAGAGCTGCACAGCTTGGTCACCCCTAAATACTAGCTCTTGGGTTTATCGCAGACAGGATATACGTCGGAGACGGGTCCACCAGAGATCTCTGATATTTTATCTGCTGACGCCACCAGGTCATCGAGTGGAACTGACTGAAATGTCACTAACACTGCTCGCCCCAGTCGTGGTAGCCTCGGGAGAAACGGTTCTCGGAAAAGG